CTGTTGCAGCGTCGCTTCTGCGACACGGTCAATTCCCGCTTGCTGCATTTGTGGTTGCGGCGGTGAAAGGCATCCACTATGAAGTGTTTGACACTAGGGAAACTGTCAGGATGATGCTTCCGGACATAGGCCTCCAAGTGACACGCGTCGTCATGGATCAGGACGTCAGGAACACATTGCGGATCTGCAAAAAGTCCATGCAACAAGCGAACCTTGTCTCCATGAGACTCACTGGCTTTGTGCTCCAAAGCCGCCAAGACCTTTCTGGACGAAGGGTCCACTGCGAACTGCCATCCCGCAGTCCGCTGTGGCAGTGCCAAGTGGAGAGAATCCTTTCTGGCACAGCTACACGATCGCTCATCCTCACGAAGAGCTTTCCGTGGTCGTCCTGGCAATTGCTTGGTCCGGGGAGGGTCGACACCTGGAAGAAGATGACGATGCAAGCCGAAATTCCCATCCATGGCCACCTCTCGCACGCCGTTCATGGGATGGAAAAGCAAAGGCTGACTGCGGCTAAGTCGGACTACCTCCTTGGCCGGATAGTCGACGTTGAAGGAGACAACCTGGTCAGGTGTTCGCTTCGCCACAGCATAAGCCTCGAGAGCACGCAAAAGGCAATCACGGAAGGTTCGATGATCTGGAAGATCGTCATGTCCTTGATGAAGAAGAACTCGGACCGCAGCCTCCTGTCCTGGGGATGTTTTCGCGCGAAGAAGACGAAGATAGCAAAGTTCGAGGTAGGACATGGTGAATGCTCTTGGTGGTCACGAAATACACACCAGCTGCTTTCATTTGATTGAAGGAGAGAACGTTGATCTTTTCTCCGGCGATCCGCATGTAGTTGTGACGAACGTAAACCCGACAGCCCTTTCGGACACAACGACTGACACGAGTGCTCGTCTTGGATAAAGATTCACTCCCGATGAGGACGCCCTTGCTGACGTCGCGAGGGCCCGTGATGGTCTTGACGAGTGACCCAGAGCAACTAGGACACGTGCGGCGAGGAAAAGCACGTGCGACCTTCACCATGGCTGAAGCAAGAAGTACAGCGGGCGGCTAGTTCGACTACAACACGCGATGTTTGGACACGGCTGTATATGCAACATTTGATGAGGCCAGGCACGAGCGAGACAGCAGACATGCAGACAAGGACGTCCTTTTGCCCTATGTGCACGCACGCAGGAAGCAGGGTCTGACTGAGGATGCGGTCTACCAAAATTTGTCGGGCCCCCATCATGTGCGACTACGCGGCTACGGAGCAATGTTTTGCCATCATGAGCATTACCGATTTATTCTAGAGGGTCTTCTTTTGAAGAGAGGGCCAGGGCATAGCATGACGGCAGTGACAAAACTACGCGATACCTCAGCAAAGCTCAGTTGTCGTGCTCACCGAGGTCGAAGCCATTGCCCAGGACATCCGCCTCATCCTCAGTGACAACATCCATGTCGTCACTGATCATGTTCTCGGGGTTGGGCACGGCGGTAGACGGGAGAGCTGCCTTCGTGCGGTCGGGGGAGTCGAGATCGATGGCGCTGTTGGAAGCTTTCAACTCCAAGGCCCAAATCTTTGCCTTCTTGCTGGCTTCCTCTTGCTCCACCCGCTCGCGTTTGATGATGGGGGCAGCGGCGACCGCATCCCTTGTAGATGACTTGTGAAGATCATCAACCTGACGATAGATGGGCCGGGAGTGGGATGATGCAGGTTCTGGACCCCAGAGACCACGACGGATGGCCTGTCGAGCTTTGTAGTCGGGACGCCTCTCATCGAAGCGCTTCTCCATAACCTTGGTCACCCAGTCTTGTTCACGACGAACCTGTGCGGCATGGTCGGGGGGGAAGGCCCGGGTGCCGTCCTTGAAGGTGCCGTAGAGGGTGCGCCCCTTTTCGGTGAGATATTCAGGGCGCTCTATGTTTACACGGGGGACAGGATCCTCGTTGATGCCGGCCTTGCGGAAGTAGACATGTGTGGGACTGTTCACCAGGAAGACAGTGCGCTTGAAGATAGCGTCCATATGTGCCTTCGAAACTTCGGAATTGAAGGCTGGACGGATACACTTCGCGAACTTGTCGAAAGAGATGGATGAGACGAAATCGAATTCGTCGGGAAGTTCCATGGGCTCGTAGGTATTGTCGGCCACCGCTCGTGGCTGATTCTGTACCCACTTGACAGCTCCCCAACGAGCCCATGCCATGGCCTCGTAGAGCCCCACGTCCAACAGAGACTTCAGCATTTTGGAAGAGAGGATGCTGAGACATGTGTCATCCAGAAAGTCACCCATTGTGATATTACCTTGCTCTCCTCTGAGAAAATCAATTTCAGGCGTACAGCGAATGCACACGGTGGTGCGGGCACCAAAGTGCGCCTTGTTAAACCGGGCCTGTGCCATCAAGATGCTGCGACCCAGTGGTGACTTGCCCGCACCCGCCTCACCCAACATCACGAGGGCGGACGTGTCGAAATCCCACACCTTCTCCAGAAGCTCCAAGACCCATCCATGGTAATAGGTGGACGTAAGGGGGATGGGCCAGTCCATCTCCTTCTTGGCGAGTGAGCCATCTTGGCTCAGGTTCCGGAGCGCCTTCTCAACAAGTGCACCGGGCCAGTTGAAGATAGGCGATTGTGGATTTTTGAGGGTTTTTGTCATCCACCGAAGCTGCTGCATTTCTGAAGAGGAGCGCGGTGCATCATGGACAATGAAGTCGAAACCGGCATCGATTTCTTCATCCGTCTTATCCTCGAATCTGTTGGTGGAGGCTTTGGGGGCGCAGAAGGATTGCATCTCGAACATTTTGAACTGCTGACCGCCAAGGCTTTCCAAAGTATACTGAAGGATTTTCTTTCCGACCTTGGCATGGGTGGCTCGCCAACGGTAGATGTAAGCCTTGCCACTTGCTCCTGCCAAGAAGACAGAGGGCTTGCACTTGTCCGGACACGTGAAATGCTTGACGATAATGTTGGAGCCATCTGGACACTCGCACACGAACAACTGAAGCTTGGTGTTGCGAGCAAGAATACCGCGAAACCCAAAGGGCTCCGGTAGCGAAGACAAATCGGAGTTCAAGACAGCGGTTTTGTATGCCTTCGTCAGATCGTTGACATCAATAGTCCCCCGGTAGTCTGTGATGATGTCAAAGAGGTTGACGCTAGGGTTGTCCGTGGACGACATTTCCTGCAACGGTAGTGCAGCCGGGGTGAACAAGCCGAGGGGCAACTTCAGGATGGCAGGTGTAGTCAGATTCTTACACACCAATGGTTCAACGGTCTTCTGGAGATCGTCGAAAGAAAGATCTTCACCGGCCATGGCGAGGACTAGAGGGAAAGCTAACTACACGAGAACTGCAGACTTCGAGAAAGCAACTTTGCGAGCAATTCAATACGGCGAGTTTGACATGGAAATGACGGATCACAGTCAAACATCATGAGCACCAGGGTCGCAGGCTGCAGGCAGGCATCATCGGCACCAGAAGCCTTTTTTCTCTTTCCAACGTTCCAGCGTTATGCAGGAATACATTTGTACAGCCGTGTACCAGTGCGAGCTTACTCGACAGCACGGCGTGGTGTCCAACCGATTTCTGGGAGTGTACCAGGCACGCATACACACATAGAGTACGATACAGTGTGTTTCACGCTGCATGTGTTGGCTTTCACACGCACAGACAAAGAAAAGTAACCCGGAATATGTGCGGCCAAGGAGTAAGGCGGCACTGGCAACACTGAGCGCGGTACCTGCAGCAGAAACCAAAAAAACCAAAAAAACCAAAAAAAACAAAAAAAACCAAAAACCAAAAAAACCAATTCTCCAGGAGACTAGTCCCCCAGATTTTTGTTTTTTTTGGTTTTTGGTTTTTTTGGTTTGTTTGGTTTTTTTTGGTTTTTTTGGTTTTTTTAGTTTTTTTAGTTCTTTTGGTTCTTTTGGTTTGTGGAGATTACTATTGTGCCTCGATGTTCGTATGTCCGGCAGGAAGACAGGACTGCTTTAAAACAAAGCGGATGTTTTAAAACAGTGTTTCTGTAATCATACCGGCAGGTATGCAAGGATGAGAGTAGACAAGACAGGCTTTATGACACTTGAAACACGAATGCGGGGGCCTACCTGGTTTCCCTTTCTGTTTTCTTTCTCAGGTTGTGCTGGTGGAACACAGTCCACCTGTGATACAGGGCTTGGCCCTTGGCTTTTGGCCGCCCCTCGTTGCTGGGCAACTGAGACTTGCCAGGTGATCCTGGCACACTGCCTGCTTTAAGCTGCAGCCTCAAGTTGTGCAGCGCAGATGAGTGTGCTGTGCAGGGAGATGCCGGGCATCTCCTTGCATAGGGAAGCTTGGGCTTTCCTTGAGGTTAGCGAGCTTCGATCCTGACTGAGGTGTGGGCCCAAGATCAAGTGAAAGTAGCCGCTCTTGACTTCCTGATACCTAGAAAGCGTTGGCTACACTGCTGCGAGCACTGGGTGCTCGCCTTATTGATCCTTGTGAATGGGTGTACTGTTCTCTGTGGCATACAGGTCGCTTGCACAACGGTACTTCCCTTCCATCGGGAAAAGGGGGAACCCTTTTGGATCTTCTTCACCTCTTTGGTCCGGACCTCATTTAGGCCGTTCGGTTTGGGGCTCAACAAAAACGGATTGTTAGGCACTTCGGCCATTTGTGGGACGACTGCGAGAGCGTGCTCTCTCGAAGGCCTGGGGCCCGACAGAGTCGAGTGCTAACATCGCGATTGCTGGGCGATTGGCGATTCTCACCTTGGGTGAGTGACAGGACAGGATCGAGTGCTTGGCACCTGATTGGGCTCTGGGCTGGATCCTTGGCCCTCTTGCTCGCTGGGGAGGAAACTCTCGGACTCCTTAGGTCAAGAACACTTGAGATCTCTTCAGCCGAGCCCTTTGCGTGCGGGTGTGACGTGATGCAACATGAGATCCGCTTGTTAGCTGCCAAACGTGATTTGGGGACTGGTGATATCCAAACTCTGAAAGAAGTCCCGACTCCTTGGGATCCGGTTGGAAGCTATGTGTCCGGGTGTGGGTACACTTCTCCTCCGACATTTGCGGCACCCAAAGTGCAAGAACCAGAGCCGGCACCTCCGAAGTGTTTTTGCATTCCCCGCCAGACGGGCCTTGCCGATCAGCAAAGGGGGAGACAATCAGAGTCGCAAGGAGCGTGTCAAGGCGCTCGCGTTGTCGCAAGCGCTCATAGTCACCTCCGTGTGTGGACTGGCAGTCGCTCTCTCGAAGGCTTCGGATGCCCAGGTTCCGATAATTTTGGATGATGTCTTCGCCCGCAAGGCTACTTCAACATTGCGTAGTCGAGCAGGCAGCCTCCTTCAGTACGCCCGTTGGCAGCGAGCAACTTTTGGTGAGAACCAACTTTTCCCTGCCAGTGAAGATCGCTTGTACCAGTATACATGCTACTTGCGAGCCGAGGGAGCTCCTGCTTCCAGGGGCGAACGCTTCATACAGAGCATCCGCTTTGCGCATAGCCTGCTGCAGTGTGCCGGTGATCTCTCCATGTTGTCACCCAGGGTCATTGGATATACGATCGCCGGGGTGGAGAAAAGACCCATCGTCAAGAAATGGCCCTTGAAAGTCCATCAATTGAGAAAGTTGGAGCAACTTGCATGTGGTGAACCGAGTGCGCTTTCCATCTTTGCTGGATTCTTGTGTGTGCTTGTGCATGGCAGGCTCAGGTTCAGTGATGGGCAAATGTGCTTTGAAGAACCTGAGCTTGAAAAGGGTGAGGCTCACAACATCCTTACTCTTCGCTTGTATGGGTCCAAGACCAGCTCTCTTCGGCGGGCAACTCGGTTTCGGCTCATTCCTGTCTTTGCGATAAGTCCAGGAGTGCACGGGTCTGAGTGTTGGGCCACCTCCTACTTGGAAAATCGTGCTGCACTCGGTTTGAGTGCTTCGGAGGATGAACCGCTCATGAGGTGCCCGACTGCAGACGGGGGTTTTTCAGAACGAAAGCTCCGGTCTTCTGACGCTTCGGTCTGGATGCGAGAAATCCTCTCGGATGTGTGTACCTTTGAGGAGCTGGCTAACATCGCAACACACAGCTGCAAAGCTACGTGCCTAGCTTGGCTCACCAAAGGGGCGGCGACGAATGCCATGTGCCGAAGAGCAGGTTATCATGTCGGCGTTGAGGGCAAATCAGAGTTGGAATACGCCCATGATGCAGCCGCCCCGCTTATCTTTAGGTTGGCCAATACTCTTGAGATGATCAAGGAAGGGTACTTCTCGCCTGACGAGCCGCGCCTCCAGAGGTGGCATGGTGCTGAGGATTATGATTCGGCTCTGGCACTCTTACGCAATGGGGGTGAGCCTAAAAGAATGCGGGCTGAAAAAGTGGGCCGCCTTCTAGCAGATTCGTCCTCCGACTCTGAGTCCAGCGAAGAGCCAGATGACGACTCCGATAGTGCGGAGTCGGAGCTTGATGGGCAAATGGCCGAGATACACGCTCATAGCGAAACTCTCGATAGCTCCAGCCAGGATGGTTATGTATACTACTTGCATGAAGCACGTAAGACCGTGCACCGAGCCCGGCAAGTTAATGATGACGATGCTACTGTGTTTCTGTGTGGGCGGTTGGCCACCGCGGCGCACACTGAGCTAGGAGCCCGACCCAACGTCATCCTTAACCCGTGCTTGTCTTGCTTCAAATGAGGCGACATTTGTACCAGCTGAAACAGGAGCTTGAGCTGTGCCTGCTGACGGGACCTAGCACTGGTCCCGGTGCTCGTGAGCGACGTCGTGTGAGTTAAGGCTCGAGTTTTGCAAGCCAACATAGCGAAAGCCATGTCCTATGTTGACTCCAAGGCCATCTTCCGCCAAAGGTGCTTGGCGGTCGGCCTGCCCGGCGAGGTGATTGATCGGCTAGAACTGCGAGGGTGGGGAACCTTTGCGAACTTTGCTCATGCACCGACAGCCACGCCGGGCACTGCGGGAGCCGAAGCGGCTGTTCGGGTGGTTCTGGAAGCTGTGTTGGGAGATACCCACGCGTCCCATGATGCCGCTCTGCGACGGCTTCATTGGGAGGCTTGGACCTTGACTGCTGCAGACCTTAAACGCAAGGTCGATGGGACAGACGAGTCCGCACCCCGCAAATTGCCGGTTGCTGAGATCGGGGCACGGCTCCAAGTGCTTACTCCGAAGATCGCACCTTTGAAGCTTGAAGGCATTCTGGAGCCCAGCCACGCGAGCATCAATCTCTTCGCCGCCATGCTGGATGAAGGGCGACTTCGCTACATCGAATGGTCGAGGCTGACCACCCGTGATCAAGAAGTGGTTGGGGCATCAGAGGACAATCTGCTGAAAGCTTGGAAGCCAGACAAGAGTGGAGTGGTGCGCGAGCACAAGGATGCTCCTCGCCTTGAGGCGAATGTGGCCACTGACCTCATGGTTCATCATGCACTTCGTCGTCGAGGAGTCTGTTATGCGATTGCCGAGCTCATGACGTTCGAAGTTCACGAGGCATTGATCAACTTTTTGTTCGACGCCTACTACAAGGATGCTCCTGAGGGGTACCAGAGGGTCACATTGACTCAGCTCTCCATGTGTGATCGAGAAATCCACCTCCGGCTCAGTGATCAATGTCGAGCGGGTTTTACTCTGGGCTCTGACGGAGGCCTTCCCTTGGACAGACATCTGCCTGTGGTTCTTAAGATGCGTTGCGTGGAGCAACTCTTGATTCCAAGGACCCGAGGGAGTGCCGCTCCTGCCATTAAGACCGCAGCCAAGACCAAGCCTAACCCTCGCAAGCGCAAGAACGGGGATCGGTCTGTTCCACCTCCTCCTCAACCTGTGGGGGGGCGATCCGACATCCGGCCGAAGAAAAGAACTCCTTATATGCCCGCAGCCCTCAAGGGTGGTGTTCCCGTTGATGCCAGCGGAGCGCCTCTCTGTTGGAACTACAACCTTGGCAAATGCGAGCATGGCGATGTGGCGCAATGCCCTAAGGGCAAGCACCTGTGCTGCCATCCGGGCTGTTTCAAAGCCCATCCTTTCATCAAGCATGCTTGACTAGGTGCAGTGATGGAGGCCTCCTCAGTGGCCGGCTTTGGTGTCGAAGCTGCTGTCGAGACTTCTGGTAGCTCGGTGTGCCCCACTCCTGCTTGTGACCATTTCGAGCTTTGCCTTGACTTATGTTTTCCCGGGATTACTCTGCAGCAGCATGCGGCAGAAATCTTCGCACGGCGAGTGCTGATCGCTCGCCCGCCTACACGACAAGATGTCGAGCGCCTTTTTGACTTGTTGCCGCTTGAGGAAGCTTCGAGAGGCACTGATGTTCCTTCAGCTTTTGGCTCTGGATGTTGGGCTCGCGACCATCGGTTCGGGCTACGACGCAACAACCGCCTTTTTCCAATCTCAGTTCAACTGCTCAATGCATTTATCCGGCAGGTCCGGCCCTGCCATCGGTGGACCTCTGTGGTCCTGTTTTGCGATGTGCAAGCCCCTCGGCACAAAGACCTGCGGAACAGTTTTGATCCGAACCTCGTTGTTGCGATCAGCGACTTCTCAGGTGGCGAAATCTTTGTGATTCGCCCCGATGGACCTGCGGTTGTGCATGATGGTACTGCTGCTCTCCGAGGGATCAAGCTCGACCCTCGAGTGCAACCCTGCTTGCTCCATGCTCGCGCTGAGGAGCACCTGACGCTGCCTTGGGAAGGTCGTCGTCTCGTCTTGGTTGCCTTTTGCATAGCTTCAGTGGGCGAGTTGTCAGTTGAACAAACTACGGAGCTGGAGCAGCTTGGCTTCCGAGTACACATACCTCCCGAGCCAATGCCTCTCCCTACCGCCACTCCCGGAGGGCAACTTTGTCTTGAAATCTTCGCTTCGCCTCCAGGCATGTCCGCTGCGTTTCGCGACCTACAGCTCCGAACTTTGGCCTTGCACCATTCACCCGATCGAGCTTGTTCTGTCCCGGTCATGCGTTGGGACGTCTGCAAAGCTGAGGATGTCAACTTTTGCTTGCAGCGGTTGAAAGAGAAAGCCGTCGCATTCTTGTTCGTCATGCCGCCTTTGAGCCATGCTACTAAACCAGGGCCGCTGAGCGCTGCTCTGGAACAGTTCATCATCTTGCTTCTGGCCACATTGACTGCATACCCGACTCCTTTTTGCTTTTGCCTGCCGGCTTCGGCCCGGTGTTGGAAGGCCGTTGAGGCCCAAGTCGTCGGCCTCCCCCATCATGAAACTCCTGTTGACCTGTGCATGTTTGGGGCCGAACGCAAACGCCGTGTCATTTTCTTGCACAATGTGCCTCCTCTGTGTCGCCTCCAGCGACAATGTGACGGACAACATACCCATCTACCTTGGACTGCTCCAGGACAACCCGCGCCTGATGCCAAACGGCTGCCTACAGAGTGCTGTCGCATGATCGCTCAGTTGTCTGTTGATTGCGTGCCCGGGGCTCTGATGCCGCCTGCCATGAGGCCCGCATCTGTAGCCTTGCAAGGGTTTACTAAACTTAGTGCCGTCCCCCCGGTTGTCCCCGAGTTTAAGTTAGTGGTTCGAGCCTCAGCCCCCGCCGATTTCGAGCCGCCTGATCAGGTGCCTTCAGTAGGGTGTGCTTCCCTACCTGGGGTTCCTCCCGGAGCCGTCTTGCTTCGATCGGGTAAGCTGGATGCCATGACGGCACAAGGGTTACGTGGGGATTGTAGTGTGCCGGGGAATTGGAGCGTGTCGGAGGGTTTAGATGCGCCGACTGAACAAAGCAGTCCCACAAAGCTTGCCGTGACCAAACCTGTTGCATTCGGGGTTTCTTCCGACACCAAACCTCCTCCCGAGACCAAACCTGTTGCATTCGGGGTTCCTTGGACCAAAGATGAATTTCTGCAGCAAGCCATGAAAGCCGAGCACCCGTGCAATGTCCTGTCTGGGTGCGAGTCACCAGCCTTGGAGAACATCAACTGGGTGTCCGGGACACCTGCTGTGGACGTGTGTGCGTTTAGGACTAACGCCTTGAAAGCCATTCTTCAATCGGAGGCCGAACTGCGAGCTGAAGAAGAAACTCTTCACTGCAGCTTACATCCCGAAGTTGCTCAGGTCCTTAAAGGCAAAAGGCTTTTACTCTTTCGTAAGCTTGCTGTTGCCGCGGGGGTCGATGACCCTTCTTTGTTTCAGGAGATGTGTGATGGCTTCAGGGTGCTTGGCTATGCCAAGCCCAGCGGTCAGTTCCCAGTTGCCTTCAAGCATGCTTCTATGGCAGAGGCCGAGTTGAAAGCTGCAGCACCTTGGGTAAAAGGAATGCTCCGAGCGCCCGACTGTAGAGAATCGGATGAAGTTGCCAGGGCCCTTTGGGACGAGGCCGTCGAACAGGCTTCCGACGATTCCGGGTGGCTGCATGGTCCACTATCCGAAGAAGATCTTGATCAGTTGTTCCCTGATGGTTGGATACCCTCCAGAAGGTTCGGTGTGCAACAGGGAGACAAAACCCGTGCCATTGACGACCTGAGAGCGTCGATGGTTAATGCCACTTGCACATCCTCCGAAAAGATACTTCTTCAGGACATCGATGTTGTCGCTCAGACTGCAAAGTGCTTCATGGATGCAGTAATCCGGAGAAAGAGCCCAGGGAATCGACAGATCGTTGGCAGAGCGCTTGACTTGAAAGCAGCGTACAAACAGCTGGCCTCCTCACCGCTGGATGCGTGGGCTTCCGTGCTGGCTGTGTGGGACCCTACTTGCAACAAACATAAGTATTTCCGCTTCTCCACGCTCCCTTTCGGAGCGATCCACTCAGTCACCAGCTTCAATCGGGTTGCTCGTGCGTTGCGCCTGATCCTCTTGAGAATCGTAAAGCTCATAGTGACTAGCTTTTATGACGATTTCTGCCAATTGGAAACTGAAGCGTTAGCCGAGTCTGCCAAAACCACTGCCGAGCTTGTCTTGCGCATTTTAGGGTGGAAGATTGCCGAGGACCCCAAAAAGTCCCTGCCATTTGCCAAGGTCTTTGCCATGCTGGGAGCCAGCTTCTCACTTGTGCGTGCCCCTTCAGGCATCCTGGAGATAGCAAACAAGGAAGGACGCCTTGAATCCTTGAGAACGCTGGTGAACTCAGTCTGCGCTGAAGGTTTCGTGCAACCTGCAGTGCTGGCAAGCTTGAAAGGGCGGCTCTTGTATGCCTCGACCCATACCTTCGGGCGCGTTGCTTTGATGGCCGTCAAGTGCCTTTCGAGACACTTGAAAGGCGGCGGGGTGTTGAAGCTTAGCTCGGATGATTGCGTTCTGCTACAGCACACTATCGGGTTGCTTGAGGACATGCGACCGCGAGAAATCAAAACTGATGCGAGTGACCGACCGGTCATAGTCTTCACGGATGGCGCCCATGAGGAGGCAGAGGGTATTACAGCTCACGGTGGAGTCTTGATTGACCCAGTCAGGGGAGTGCACCGCTTCTTCGGAGAGCTAATCCCGAAAGCGTTCATAGATTCTTGGGGAGCTCATGGCAAACGTCAGCTTGTGGGCCAGGCGGAAGTCTTGCCAGTTCTCGTCGCCAAGATCGTGTGGGCCGAGTTTCTTAAAGGCCGAAAGGTGCTGTGGTTTATAGACAACGATTCAGCGAAAGCAGCCCTGGGCTCTGGCTCATCCCCGGTGTTGGCAACATTTGCAATGCTGTGTGTCGGTGCGCACATCGACGTGTCGCTTGAAGCGGCGCATTGGTACGCCCGAGTGCCGTCCAAAGCAAATCTTGCTGACGATGCTTCACGCCTAAACTTTGGCTTCTACGGATCTGAGTACACCCGGACCAATGTGGACTGGACTTGCTCGGCCCTTGAAACCCTTTTGCGCTCATGCACTGCGGTCACCGATGCCTCAACACTCGAGTTGTAGTGGGGAGATAAAGTGTTGAGGAGCCTGGGGCCCTTTGATGCACACATCCCCTTGAGCGGGCACCGGGTGCCCTGATGCAAATGCTTGGCGTTTGTATCCTCGCAATCGTACAACTCTTGACGAGGACGCCGTGACCGCCATTGGATGAAAATGAAGGTGAGCGCATTGTGAAGCCGATTTTCGAGATATGCATATTGTGCCTCGAATGTATATTTATTCCTGATTGGAATTTGTGATATGTTGGAACATATCTGCTGTCATATGTTCCGCTACGTGTCGTGCGAAGATTTTCAAGCTGGGCATTGTGACCAACCTTGTACCTTTGTCACTACACACCTTCGCGTACACTCTTACTTGTTTCTGCGGGTGATTTGATTGTTTCACACCTCGGCAATAAGAAACACATCGCGGAGCGATAAATCTTTATTGCCTTGTGTGAAAAGGATGCGCTGGGTGCATCCGTCAATCGAATCAAACCGGTGGAAAATTTGTTTTGTGCAAATTGGATGTTTTAAACAAACATGTGTTTGTCCTTTCGCCCTCAAGCTTTTGCCATTATTTTGCATGACATCAATCACTTGTGGTGTTGATCATGAATGCAAGCCGGGCAGCTTTGTGCTCAAGTGCCCTGCTGGCAAAAGTGGGGCGAAAATTTTGTCACCCACCCACCCACCCGGGGGGGAGATAAAGTGTTGAGGAGCCTGGGGCCCTTTGATGCACACATCCCCTTGAGCGGGCACCGGGTGCCCTGATGCAAATGCTTGGCGTTTGTATCCTCGCAATCGTACAACTCTTGACGAGGACGCCGTGACCGCCATTGGATGAAAATGAAGGTGAGCGCATTGTGAAGCCGATTTTCGAGATATGCATATTGTGCCTCGAATGTATATTTATTCCTGATTGGAATTTGTGATATGTTGGAACATATCTGCTGTCATATGTTCCGCTACGTGTCGTGCGAAGATTTTCAAGCTGGGCATTGTGACCAACCTTGTACCTTTGTCACTACACACCTTCGCGTACACTCTTACTTGTTTCTGCGGGTGATTTGATTGTTTCACACCTCGGCAATAAGGCAGAAAGGTTTTTCACCAGGTGTCTTGAAAGAATGGTTGAAAGGGTTGTGTGAAGGCTGATGTTAGGGTTGCTTAACAACTATATCCAGGAGGACGTTGGGTGCATGTTGAATGGGTTTGGGAAGCACTTGGCATTGCCGGAGGTCTAAGGTTGTGAGTGTTGGAGATAATGTTGGGTCTTGACTTGATTTTCTTTCGCCCTGTCTCAGCATCGAGGTCTCCTTCGCTTTCTGTCAGAAACAGAATTGGGGTGGAAAATAGGCTCGGGGCTCATCGTACGTAATCTGCTTCTTTCCCGTGAATAACAGTGTGCCCACAGTCCCTTTGGAAACTTTACGTACAAGCCTTCAGAAAACTGTAGCGTTAGTTTCTCTGTAACAAGGTTTGCGTCGGCTTCTGCATCTCAAATAACGAGTCATTCACCAGCAGCCTGTTGTGAAAAGGTCGTTGCGCAGTTGTAAACTCAGTATTCCAAATTTACGTCAGATACTTCTGGACATTGCTGTGGCAAGGTCTGGCCTGCTCGGCAACACGCAGGCCATGGCGGTAGATCAGAAAACTGTTGCGCCGCCAATGCACCACGATATCCGGGTCGAAGTCCTGACATGATCGCTGATTCTGATGGCACATCCAACGTGAGGAGGCAGCGCGATGTTGCCGTCAACAGCCTCTAGACCATTGGATGACGTTAGTCAGGTGTGTCTTAAATTAGAACCATGGAGCCTAGCTTTCAACGTGCTTTGCAGGTTCCAATTAGATGGACCCTATAGCTTCCGATTTTTGCATACTGATCTTCCAAAACTTGGGACAGTGCCAAAAGCCTGGAGTGCTTTGTACTTGCACTAGGAACTGTTCAATCCATTAGGAAATCTGGAAAGCAAGCCGCTTTTCATTTGTCACGGACATGAAGAACATCAAAGCGCACGCGTGTTGGGGAAAACAGAACACCCCCCCCTCCCCCACGTTTTGTATTTGCTAAATTCCTCCAAAAACTAGCCCATGCGTTGTTAATGGAAGGTTTAAAGCCCTCCAACATATGCAGTGTCAATTCAACGCATTCGATAACCCATACTTCCTAGGTTTTGCTGGTTGATTGGGGGGTTCGGAAATCCTGGGCTCCTGAACTCTGTTTATGGTTGCTTTCGAAACAACCCTATCGAACCCGGGTTCCATTTAGAAACTAAACTTTGTGCGTAAAACTTGTTTCCACTGGGCGGGGTTGGGATTTCCATGCGTTTCGGGTTTTTGGTTGTCTGTTACTTGAATGTATGTGAGGCAAGACTGGGATTTTCTGGCTTTCTGTTTTGTTTCCAACCACACAGGAGTCCCCTAAAGCATACATCCTGCTGGTTCAAGTCAACCAGGCTGCAGGGCCTACATCCTCTGACAGGTGTTACCAACGCATTGTTTTTTGGGGCCAGGCGGGGTGGGAGACAGGGTTGGGGGGAGCATGTTGTATTATAAAACATTTCTCTGAGTTCGTATCAGAACTGATGGGTCCAGGTCAATACCAGAAACCAAGCCCCAAGTCAATTGCGTCACCAGTCTGCTTCAGACGTATCAGTGTTTGCTCGAGCTTTGCTTGGAATGCACACTGTTTACAGTGCCATGCCCTAGCCTCGCCCTAGACGCCTCTTCATACCTGTTTACACCCTGATCGCTCGGACGACATGAGCGTGCATCCACGTCACTTCCTGACGCAATACGTGGCACGGAATGGCATCGACTCGTTTTTGTTTTGGCTTTGGTGTGGTGCTGTGCATCCAAATGCAAGGGCATTCGTGCTGATAATGTCCTGCAATGTCGTCAGAACATATGTAAAGCGCTGGAGCAAACCTCAAAGTCTCAAAGGCAACTTCCGGATCCACGTCGGAGGAAAGCATCTAGGTTGCGCTATCGAAGGGTTTTGCAAGCTGTTCTGCAGTGCTTAGTGCTCAGCTGATCTGTCTGAGGTGAGAACCTTGACGTCACGGCCATCAAAGGGCAAGTGCTGCAGTACATGCAGGACCATGCCATTGACGGCCCACGGAGTTCCCCCTCTGCCATCGATGGATCGTGGTAACAGAGCCAGTCCCTCACCTCATGCCATGCCTCCGTCACTTCTCGTAAGGTGCTAATCTGCCAGACTGGCGCACGCCGAGACAAGATCATGCAGGCCGAGTTGGGTTTGCTTTTGGGGTATCTGGTGACCTTACAAGCCTTGCACAAGTGTAGCTTGCTGGAGAACTTCTCGAACTGGCAGTAGAAATTTTGAAGCCCTACTCAGCCTCGGCACTCAGCGCACTCCCTGGCGTGCCAATCCCAGAGCCGCAACGCAGGCCACAGCTGAAGGCAGCGAGGAAGAGAAGTTGTCTGATGACGCCGAGGCAAGCACGCATGCAACGCATGCCCGGACTCGGACCCCGAAGTTTGACAGAGCTTGGCTGCAACCCGTGTACAAGTTAGAGGTGGAACCTGAAGCCAAGCGCGCATGCACCTCAGGACCTTCTTTTGTTGCAGCCCTTGTCTTGTGAATTGGCTTGCGAGGAGGCGTACTTTGAAACGCGTGCGTTGAGTTGAGGCCTCTGCCCTTGCCTGCCGAGGCCCGTCGAGATACGTGAGTGGCGGGCTACGCATTCGCTCCAGCTTCTGATTCAAAAATGGGTTTAGGGTAAGGGAAAACTCCGGGAATGGATGACCCCACACCCACCAACCACCTATGGAACAGGGAGGGTAGCCAAGCGATGAATTATAGGTAGCAGGTTGATTGGAATGGGATCGCGCCCGTTTCACCCAGTCCTGCTTTCTGAACCTCAGACTCATGGCACGCTCGCAGGCCGTGAAGGTCATAAAGGCGATGAAGCGATGCAAGCTATGACGGTCACGAGGCATCCAAACATGCAGTTTCGCACTTGTCATACTAAGCTGAAAAGTCCTTCGTGCGCATGGCTCTGCACAGTTCCACCGCTCGACCTAACCACAAAGCCCCACCTGGTCGAACACCGGGCTCTGACAAACTCGGGATTTGGGAGTTCTGCTTGGAACTGCGGCTGCTGTGGCTCCATTTTGTGTCTTTGCTCCTTGTGCTCCTCACATGTCCGGTCCTGAGAAGCAGCGAAGCTAGATCCCTGTGTACATGCGACCTGCGCAATCATCCTAGTTTGACGTTCACATTCATGTGCACGGGGCAGGTGTCAAAACTGTACTCAGTTTGTGAGAGATACCGCTGAGCCACCCCTAGTTTTGTTTAGATCTGAGACCAAAGCTACCAGGCTCATTTGCATGAAAGAAGATGTGACACAACTGGTGACAGTGACTGAAAGCAGGTCCATTTCCCATCAATGGCCTGCCGCGCACGTCACCACGCAAGAACTGTTGAGACTATAGTTGCAGATTCTGAAACCTGCGCCTGCCCGGATCCAGAAGCGTAGCATCTACAGTTTGAAAACGACAGGCATTGATATCGATTGCTGCTAGAAAGAAGAGCTTGGCTCAGCAAGCATCCTTCAGCAATTTCGTTCTGCCTCTCCATGCGACGGGCAGCAAACCCAGCATTCAGAAGAGTTGAAATCTTTCAACCTGGACACTTGGGGAACCACGTCGTATGAGGTCAATCTCGAGTGTCCTTGCAATAAGTTTTGAACCATCCAGGAAAGAGTGCAGCAAGTGCCTCAAACTTCTCATCACAAAAGACAACATCTACTAAACAACAAACAGTCGTAAGCAAGGCAGTCGCAGAAGAGATCATGACTTGGTTGGGCTGAATTTCAATCATGTGGAACAGATGTTGGCCAAGTAGTGCTGCCGACTTGCAGTGGTCATCTTCGTTTGCCGCCATCGCAAGTACACAAACTCAATATGTTCGGAAGGATCTCCCGGTTTGTCCGTTAGGCAAGTGGGGCAGAGGCCCATTGGGTCTTTTTGCGAGGATCATCTAGCAGATTC